ACGGAGATGATGTAATATACGAAAAATTGCTCATTGCACATAACTTAGCGAACATTGCGTTAAAATGCCATTACTGATGTACCAACTATTGGCGGTGTAAGAAAAAATTCTTGGCACGCGCGTGTTTCGTGCTGTAGCTAATGTTCTTTGCAACGGTAACCGGATTTTCGGTTGTAAAGAATCCATTTCGTACTCGCCTCACGGATTCGGAACAACCGTGTAATCCAAACGTACAATCGGCGCAAGCAATTATCACCCATTCAATCTATCTCCGTACATATATTTTCTCAGCAATTAGAATGAGTAAATTTACAGAAGCTATATAACCGAAGTGAAGCTCAATGAACGATCCGACCGACATTTTAAACTCGGTCACAGCTCTTTCTACATCCTTTCTTTTCTCTTCTTTTTCTATTTATTTTATATTCTTTAATAATACTTCAAATTTGTCTGATCCTACCATATGCACTGCACGTTTGAATTCTTCCTCTTATAGTGATATGAAAAATATAAAGAAATGATAAATCTAACTAAGATATCTTACAGTTAGACTTGTTCATTTATTCCATCTCCCCTATTTTTCTTCCTCTCTTTCTTTTCTATCTTACGAAATCCGGCTATACTCCGAGACATAAAACTACGATTTATTTCATAAATTAGTACGCACAGCTTTGGCAATAAATCCCACAATTTAAATGGTTTCATTGTAAAATGATAACGAATAGATTAAATTTGCAAACCGACCGAGTATTTACCGAATGGTTCTCGCGCTTCTGCACAGGCGAGTTGTAACACATTCATAAAAGTCCGTTGTAATTTATGTTCCAATGTTGATAGCAACAATTCAGATGAACGATACATCCAATAGATGAATAAGTATTACTTTCCGAGAACAATGCTAACGCTATATAATGAATCAATCATCTTGCTTTGAAACGTGAAAATTAACGTACTAATGAACGTGACAGCTCTGTGAGATTTCACCGAGAACAATAGCAACTAACGAAAGTATAAAATCTATCCGGCATTTGTAACTAATTTTTTGAAAATTTTGTCTCTGTGCGCTGGAATTGCTGCAAAATGAATTATGTCATGATTTATTGCCGGCGTTTTCTTACAAACGAGCGTTTGGTTTTGCTGACAGTTCAAAACACATCTGGTCTGTGACAACAGTGTGTTAAGCTGAGAATTGCCCAACACTTGTGAGATAAGTTGATGGAAAATTTGGTATCATTCAGAATAATCATGATCACTGTTAGACTAAACTCGGTCAAGGTCATACATAATGTTTGGAAATGTTAAATGCCACTTTTATCGTGATATTTAAGTTCTTAAATACAAGACTTTAAAGGTAAATGTTCAATATAAGATAGAGTTAATAAATCATCAAATGAGTTTATCAAAATCGACAAACAAAAAAGTCAGAAATTTATCAAAGCTAAGAAAAACTAACAAAACAAAGTGTAGTGTATTTCAGAATATTTGAGTATTTTGCTTCATTTTTTCGACAAATTTCTTTTCTTCATTTTCATCGATATTCTTTTTTCAATCACATGTAAATTGTATATTTCATTATCAAGATTTTTTCTCTCTCTCTCTCTTTCTCTTTTTTCCTTCCTCTTCCTCTTTCTTTCGTTAAAAAAACTCGTATCGCTCGCTCTATTAGACAGCATAAAGCGGTAATTAAAATTATCTACTTTTCTTCAGCCGACATGATCGTGAGCGACATATAAAAGTATATAAAAAAATAAATAAAGTTTTATCGTCAAAGCATTATTAACAACTGAAAGGTATTCCATGTTTTTTTTCATAACTTGATTTATAACATACGGTGATTTATTATACTTTCCGTCGCGATGTAACGAAAAAATTATATATTCTATCATTGAATAATATAAAATCTGTAAGTATATGTGCATATTGCACATTCGACGATGTTATTATGCAGCACTGATGAATCGTTCATGCGCACATTTGTGAATAAATAAATAATACGCGGAAAAAATATTTTACCTGGCGCCAATACATGCCCCCAACGAGTTTTATCGTTTGTCCTATCAATAGAATATTAAGTGGCAACGTAAATCTTATATACGTGCAAATCTTATTTCTTTTCGTAATTTATATGAAAGATGTCAAACAAGTTCCTTGTCTGACAATGAGTCATAAAATAATTACAACGCCGGAAGCTATTCCACTTATGTTAGTTTCGTCATGACGTAACATTAACATAGATAAAGTGGAGTTTGTTATTTTAACCCATTGATTTGTTGCCAACAATGTTGAAAAGACTGAATCAGTCATTAACACTCATTTGTGTGAAGCGCTTAATTACAAAATTTCATATAATTTTGAGAGATTAGTGTCAATGTCAATAGTAGTTAAAAACAAAATTATAAAATATTTCTTAGAATTAAATAAAATTCAGTTAAGTCAACTATTTCTTGCTAAAGTTTAAACAAATTTGACATCACAAATATGTTATATTATTATTAGACGTCGATGTGGCAAAGGTTAAATGCATCGCGTTAAGCAACGTCGCTATTCGGAATAATAATCCAAGTTGCATCTCTCATGACCTGTGATCTGAAAGTCGTGAAATAATGGTACATCCCCGGAACTCGTTTCGCTCGAGTTGGCCATAATCTCGTCGGGTGCATCGTTTACAGAACATTTAGCTGCGATTTTCGCACTTGACTAACTTGCGATTTCTCCCTTGTGCATGCACACGTGCTTTCATGCATTGGCGGGACACAAACATTTTTACCAATTTTTTTACTGCACACTAAATGCGCCTTGTCGTTTTCATATCGATGACAACGATAAATATCAGAAATAATTTTCGATTCCGTAAGAAACGCGAAAACTCAAAGGGGAAAAAAAGAGGAATGAATGCCACAAAACCGGGAAGTCAACGTGAGAAAGGAGATCAGACGCGAAATGAAAATAGACGTCGTGCAAGAGCAGCAAAAGCGAGGTCTGCCAAGAGCGCGGACAAATATATGGAAGGAACTGTCACATTCCCGGAGAAAACCAGAGAGGGAAAACGAGCTAAAAGCGAAATGGAAAATAGAACCGGAGTGGAGGGAAGCGAACGGTGAAGAAAAGAGCTCGAGAAAAAGAGAGAGTGAGAGAAGAAAGAATCGCATACCATTGTCTCCAAGTGCGATACAATGGATTCTCGGTTGTGTTAGCTCTACGAAGGCCTGGTACCTCATTGGCCACTCGCGTTAACGCGTACACCATCCGGCCGAGTCCTCGTTGTCGTTTTGCACACCAAACGCATATCGCGTAAATGTGCATTGTGTACTCAGCATTGTTCCACATTGAGCGGACCATGGCATTGCACGGGATAAGAAACGAGGTTGAATGCTGGAAAATGGAAAGTGGTCTGGGCGACTCCGCGGAGGAGTTACTACGAAGGAGTGCCGAGCACAATTCGCTGCTTTCGCCGTCTCAATTTTGCGAATCTTTGTGGTAGCTCGGGAATGAGGAAAGGGCATTGTTCGCCCGCAAGTTAAAGACGCTAGCTGGTACCATAAGACTTCATTGTGATTTCCATTTCCTAAGGATTTACATGTAGCACATCCATTTACGATTGGAATGACGGAGAATTGGAAACTTTCATGACAAAAATAACAATTTCTCTAATAAATTAATTAATTAAAAACAATTATTTAGGAGAATATATACGATTTTACGATGGAGAAGAAACAAGTTCTTTTTGAGGTCAAGATAACTGCTCAACCGTTTTAGTGTTAAGAGACCCAAGGTTTCAGAGATGATTAGATAGCGATGATGTACACGTTCACAGATCTGCAATTGCGTAATTGCTAACGTTTGAAGGAAATCGTAGCATCAGTGATTAAGTATTATATAGTCCTTATACATTATCTACGCCAATTAAAATTTTTTTTGTAAACAGTTTTATCAAAATGTCGGGAAATTACCGGAGAATATTACCGTAGCGAATAAAAAGCATTACATATATCTCGTTTTTCTGCTGTCTGCATATGTATAGCATGTGCCAAGAAAAAATGTACATACTTGTCACGAGAAGCACTTACTATGTATAAGCCAATTATGCTTTAGAAGAGTATCTTTTGTTTAAAAAAAATTTCAGATTAACCGTTCCTCATAAAAACTGTAAGATTTTATAGTTCTTCTATAATAAAAGGTGAATTGATGTAGTAAAAAATTTAGCATATTAAAATAATCGCGCTTATAAACGATTTATCTTAAAACCTTTTTGTAAAATACAAATCGCAATTTAAAAAAACCTTTATCTTTTTTAAAAGCTTACGATTTACGTGTTAGCATATATAAATTATTAACAATAAATCATATAATCAAATAAATATAGATTTTTCTTTTTGTATCATTTGTATGTTTATATCAATGTTTATTATTCGTATATCATTTCACAATATTTCATCGAACGAGAATAACAAATTATTTTTCTTTCTCCAATTGATAAATATGTAAACAGATATTTTGATAATTTTTTTAATCATATTATAATAGTGATCATATTTTACACACACGCACGCACGCACGCACGCACACACACACACACACACACACACACACACACACACACACACACACACACACACACACACACACACACACACACACACACACATATATATAAAATGTGTGTATAATATAACATTACATTATTTTTCCACTCAAATTTTAAAATGTGAAATTGTCCGAGACAGTAATTTTATTTATCTATTCATTAAAAACGTACCATAACAAAATGCAAATTGTAAACAAGCTTCAACGTAAATAATACAAATTATACCGATAATTAAGTTTCACAAAAAGGTTATGTAATTACTTAAAAAATATATATAAAAATTTACTTCTCTTTCGTAACATAAAACAAGTCCAAAATATCTTATGGACAATAGAATCGTTTTACTAATTTAAATACATACTCATTAGAATATTTTTTTTTTCGCAAAATAAGTTCAAGTTATGTGCAAACAATAGCTTTAATAATAGTTTTAATAGCTTTTGCGAAGCGTGAATGCACAGAGCGTATATTTTTGTTAGAGAAATATGTCTATGAAAAGATGCGAGAATTGACGTAAACCGTCATTATATTAAAATTCGTAAGCATCATTTAGCAGCCTGTTGCATAAATTCGTTCAACAATGGATCACTCAAAAACAATTAGGCTCTCTAGAGAATCAGATGACGTCCTCTCTCGCGAGAGAGGCAGGCGGGATATAAATTCAATGAAAAAGAGCTTACAGGAACGCCGGTACGACGCCGATAAACAATAGCGACAGAAGATAAGAAGACCACGTTCTTCCGGACTCCCTCTCCTTTCGTTAACTTCACCATCCCACCAATGCTATTCCTTCGTTTGTCTCTTTTCCGTGTGGGGCGATATCGTCTCTCTTTCCTGCCAGGTCGTTAGCATAATAGCGTCAAGTACTTCACTTCGTTGGTAGTCAATACGTGCCGTCGCTCCGATCGCGTCACATTGATCGTATTGAGTCATATTGGTGTATCTCGTGAAATTACATAACAAGGTCTCTAATACGATCGCACACACGGCCGCGAATATAAGGGTGCGTTACAGACGAGCTCCTCTTATTTTACCTTTCACCGGAACTTGTCGCGGATATATTCCACCTCTCTAGTGGAGGCGAGCATCTTTCTTCGTGGCACTCGTCCTTTCCAATTGGAACCGATCGGGCAAGAAAGTCAGACAAGAATCGCGTTTAAAGGTAACATCGTCTCCGCGTCGACACTTCCCAATAGAAACAATCGTCGCGGTGGTGCTCGACAAGCACTCGAGAGTCTCTCAAAAGCCACTTCTCACCCCTAGTAATCGAGAATCTGGTCTCGTATATCGAGCGACACGATCTCTCGATACGAATCGCCGTTTAAACTCAGAGCAACCCTCGTAATCTCGGTACACAGACAAACCTCGATCACGGAAGGACATTACGAAACGGTGGTGCGGATACGGGATGACGACCAACGTCACATCGATGGTGGTGGACTACCTGGTTTTCATCGGATTCATCGTGATTTCCTTTGTGATACCACTATGGGGCAACTTCAGGACGAAGAAAAAGGAGACCAAGGCGAATTATGTATTCGCCACCGGAAGCGTGTCGATGGGCGCGATGATGCTGTCAATTGCGCGAGGGACCCTTGGCGTCAGATCCTTCCTGGGTTATCCCTCGGAACTGTATTATCGAGGTAGCGCCATGTGGGAGACCCTGTATGGGATGTTGCTCGCCTATCCCATCGTCTGCTTTATCTTTGTGCCTGTTTACTACAGTCTCGGTATCACGTCGGTCTACCAATATCTGGACATGAGGTAATTTCACGGTTCTTGTTTCTTCACGAAAACATGGCATGTGTGATATATTATTTCTCAAACTTTGTATGAAAATAACTCGTTGCTTATATATGAATTATATATCAACATGACATGCAAAATAAACTGTGTGATAACCGGATCAAAGCGATATATAAATGTACAAAATCAAATTAAAATGTTGTATTGATATTACATCGATAACAATTGCGATAGATCAATCTTAAAGTTAAATATCTAACAAAAGAGAGAACAAAATTATTGTGGAAGTTTTTAATTATTAACATATGGTCAAGAATTTTAAACCAACAGATAAATTAATTTTGAATATATACATTGTATTCTATATTCAGATGTTTACTACATCGTGTGTGGCGGCAAAAAGTAATGATATCATAGGATATGAAAAACAGTTGAATTCAAAGAAAAAAAAAGTTGTTCCTATATGTGTTGTAATGTGATTAGTACTTGGTAGTGAACTTTGGATTTTTATAATTTTAGCTATGACATAGAGAGAGAGTGTATTCTCATACGTAACGGTCCGGTTAGCACGAAGATAATTCTCCGAATCTCTCATCTTTTTAGTTTCTCTTAATTATGTAAATTCCCCAGGTTCAAGTCGAAACTAGTCAGATGTCTGGCGAGCTTCTCATACGTCATACGGAGCCTTTTAAATTTGGCAGTCACTGTGTTTACTCCTTGTGTCGCATTGAAAGCAGTAATAGGGCTTCCGTATTGGGCTAGTATCGTAGGAATAACAAGTATTTCTGTGGCTTTCACAATCATGGTAAGAGCAACACATGTATTATATTATATATATATATATCCGTCTGTTTCACAAAAGTCAACATTCATTCATTAAACAAATGTTGAATATGAAATAATGCAAGTTGTTGAATATTTCGTTTAGAATCGAGTAATGAGCGCTTTTCATGCAAACTATATAAATTAAAATTACGAAGAATTCTCGATGCAATGCAATGCGCACAAAATATTATGCAAAAATATTTTTTATATTCATCTATTATAATAACAAATAATTTTGTTTCTAAAGCGTAAATTCGTCTAATTTATATACAAGGTGTCTTATTTTAAATGTTTCGCGCAAATATCTCGAAAAATATGAAAAAATGTTTCAGATAAAAGTTGTTTGACTCGAAGGGGGACATAAGATGGTGTCATTGATTTAATCTTGAATAATTATTTGAAGGTCACGTAAAAGTAAAAAAAGTAAATAAAGGTATGATTACCGAGAACTGAATATTTTACAAGATACTTTACATTTTATGTCAAAAAGTTATTAGCTTCAAATCTTTATAACTTAAAGAGTACTACATGAAAAAATACTTTATTGTAGAGATTTGGAAAGCTCTTGAAATAACCTACAAGAATATGTGATAATAAATAAGTAGATCCGTTTAAGAAATTGAAGGTGACTTTTACGTGATCTTCAAATGATTATTCAATCGTTAAATCAATGACTCCATCTTATATCCCCCTTCGAGTCAAACAACTTTTATCTGAAACATTTTTTCATACCTGTCATAATTTTCGAGATATTTGCGCGGAACATTTAAAATGGGACACCCTGTATAATTAATATGTTAATTTCATTAAGTAAAAATTTTCTTATTTATGGCATTATATGCCACAAATAAAAAAGTAGCATACAATGCTATAAATAAAAATGAGAGAAAAAGATCTGTTCAAATTAAAATTATATCAGTTTCAATCTCTGTGAAAATATAACTTATAACTTCGTAGAAGAACGGTAGAGTATTTTCGTAAAGCCTGATATTTCAGGTTAAAAGTTAAAATTATGATCTAATTTTGGTAAACGTGTGAAATTACATTCCATCGGCAAATTACTTACTATTCGCTTTATAGAAAATTGGATCAATTAAGCATTCAAATAGGACGTATTGAATGGCGAATATAATGACGACAAACATGAAAAAAAAAAAAAATAATAAAACTATAACTCTTAATAAAATTCTTAAGCCTTTGGAATAATAAGATATTTTAACATGTCTTTTTACGAAATAAGTCATTATACATTCGTTATTATACGTAGCGTTAAGATTAGTTTATAAAATTATTTTGTCGATTATAAGCTCCTTAATCGATTATTAATCAATATTGTATTAATTTATAATTTACGAGTACTGATATTTATGTACGTTTATTTCTTTAGGGAGGTTTGAGAGCTGCCATTTTATCGGATGTTATACAAGGCCTAACGATGATCGGTGTGTCCGTGGTAATCATCATACAGGGAACTGTTAATGTCCATGGACCAGCTAATGTCTTAAATGTGACTCTCGAACGCGGGCGTTTGAATTTTTTTAAGTATGTCTATTGATAATAATTCATCAAACGCGTATATAATTTTCATTTCAATATAAATTTACCAATAATCATATGCGGAATCCTTGTTGCGCATTTTCGCATCTCATTTTTGAACTTTAGAATTATTAATTACAGTGAAAATATACAATTCCAACCAACTGTCAGTAAATTGAATAATGTTAAAATGTGATTTTATATTAAAATTCTTTACCACGCATTTCACAATCTAAAATTATTAAATTCCACACAGCAGCGCAAAATTATTTCACGTGCTGTGCATTTTCTGCATCCTTGAAAAATTTTGTAGAGATAATAAAATGATCGCTCATTTCTTTTAGATTACAAAATAATTTAGAGATCATTTAATATTTCTAGATCTTTCGTATATAAAAATACTATACTAATTCGATAATTCGTTCATCTTTTTTTCAGCTTTGATATGGATCCTACTCTTCGAGTGACAACAGTATCAGCGACACTGGGTCAGCTCTTTATGAGTTTATCCATTTTTGGATGTCAACAGAATTTTGTCCAGAGGTATTGCAGTATGTCCAGCCAAAGAAAGGTTGTTCAGTAAGTACACTTTTTATTTGAACAGAATTTCAAACAATTTGCCTGTCCTAACCGTTCGTCTGTCGTGCAACGGTAAACGACTATGAGACATTATGCATAACTCGAATGATCTAAAGGATAATGTGATTTATGCAAAATGTTTCGTGAATTATCACTTTATGCGTATAAGATGAAAATGGAAATTACGAGCACGAACGCGTACACGTAGTACGTAAAGTAGTCAATAAAGGAAAAGTAGGGTCAATAATGTTCCGTCAATTGTATAAAATTGTACTTTAAAAGTTGAGTCATAAAGAATTTGTTAGTTGATAATGCTAAATAGAAATTTTATATAAAAATTAGTATAAATTTCTATTATACAACTAACCAAAGAGATCTAGAGAACTTTTAGAGATATTAAAATAAATATTTTTCTATGTATCTTGCGCGAAATCATATATTTTTAAAATATTGATATCAGCAAATTCTTATATATAAAAATTTTTACGTATAGCACAAACCTTAACGATACAAATATATAATGTATATATATATATATACACAGAGTGCCCCGAAATTCGCAAATCAAAATACTATTTAGCAACAAAATTCTCGAAAAAATGAATTAAAAAGTATTTGTCATTTTTCATTTCAAATAGAGAGAAAGTAGTTTTTGAATGAAAAATACTTAAAATTGGCCAATTACTGATTAAACGTCTGTCCATGCGTCACGCGTTGATAATATTAATGACCATGTTTTCAATAATAAAATATAATTGGTAACTTTTAAATATATATTGAAAAATTATTGTTAAAAATAAAAAATATCAATAAATATTTTTCATAAATTTTTTTACGAATGATTGATTTTAATTCACGAATTTTAGGACAGTATATGTAATATGTATATATATATATATATATATATATATATATATATAAAATAAAAACTGTGTTTGCAAATATATATCTAGATACATCTTTTCTACAAAATTTCAATATGTTCAAGTAAAATTAATTAGTGTAAAAATTAATTTAGAATTAATTAAAGAACGTATTATTGTGATAAAAGATTTGTGAAGAAATACAATATTTTATATTTTATATTTGGAAAATGTTATACGTACTATATATTTATATATTTGTATTGATATATTCTCTTTTGCAAAATTTTAATTAAAAATTGTCAAATAATATATTGTTTTATTAGATATCAAGAAATGCATAGTTATTGCAATATTAAATATTACACACTTTAATTTAATATAGCCAGTACGTGATATTTTTACTTAGCGTTAAATTTATTTTAAAAGTTTATATATATATATATATATATATAAATATATAATAATATATATAAATTTATTTTAAAAGTTTATATATATATATATATAAACTTTTAAAATAAATTTAACGCTAAGTAAAAATATCACGTACTGGCTATATTGAATTAAAGTGTGTAATATTTAATATTGCAATAACTATGCATTTCTTGATATCTAATAAAACAATATATTATTTGACAATTTTTAATTAAAATTTTGCAAACGAGAATATATCAATACAAATATACAAATATATAAATATATAGTACGTATAACATTTTCCAAATATAAGATATAAGATATTGTATTTCTTCACAAATCTTTTATCACAATAATACGTTCTTTAATTAATTCTAAATTAATTTTTACACTAATTAATTTTACTCGAACATATTGAAATTTTGTAGAAAAGATGTATCTAGATATATATTTGCAAACACAGTTTTTATTTTTTCGAAAAATGAGATTTCTTCTTAAGTTTTGCACATGTATACCAGTTATAATTCGCGGATGTACACACATGTATTTACTCGTGACTTGTTGAAATTCTATCTGCAGTTGTTTGAGTTTGACTAATGATTCATCAACGAGAATCACGTGAATTATGATTCACATTTAATCATGTAAATAATTCTTATCTTAATGTAAGGATTTACTTTGGGATTTACAGATTGAAATGACGTTAACAAGAAAAAAACAAAAGAGGAATAATCATGGATATGAATTTAGAATTTAGAATTATAAAAAAATATACCTCGTATTTTATGACTAAGAAATTATAGGAAATTGAAATATATTCCAGTAAAAAATACTAGTATGCATATATATCTTATAAAGCCATACTTTTCCTATATATTTCTTCGTCTGTAGAATTTTCATTAATCAATTTTTAATTAACTTAGTAACAGTTGAATACATGTAACTTGTCATACACGTGCTTTAATCATTTTTTAACTATAAAAATATGGTGAGATTAAATTATTTTAATTTTAACTTAAAAGCTTTTGAATAGCTATTTTAATAGTTATTTTTTATTACTATATTTAATATTTTCTCGGTTTTTCCACACACCATAAAATTTCCACGCATTAATTTATCCTCTTGTGATATCAGAAATGAGGTATTAACATTCAGAATAACATAATATAATCACAATGTTATAGAAAATAGAAATTAGAGAGTAACAAATCTAATTGATTTAATAAAGCATGATTTGTGAAAATCTTTAAAAAACATCGTATCAAGAAATATCAATTTTTTGCCAAAAAAATTTAAAACCATGTTTCGTCATAAAAAGTCTTATCGCTTGAATGAGATACGCGAGCGCGTCTCCCATCTCACAAAATTAAATTTAGAAATTCTCGCGCTCGTATAAGTTATATTTAGTTAAAAAAAAACCAGTCTATTTTATATTGACAAAACAATTTAATTTTGTAATTTTTTATTATTTAAAATATTTATTTTCTCCGCAACGTATAAATGTCCTTGTTTGCACAATTGAGGTAGCACATATACATATGTACGCATATGAAACTGTAACCGCGACGAGATTTTACGAAATATTGATACACATGGCAATTGTCATATATATGTAGTAGTGAACGTAAAACCAAGCATTTTTCAGTCAGTTGTCCGGCGGTAATCAAAATCATATAAAAACGCTCACCTGTGTGCGACCGCAAATTTGTTGCGTTACCAAGTTGAGACATCACGTGGAACGTATGCATCACGTTGGTTCGTAAAATTTTATTGCTCGCAAATGTATCGTCGGAGGAACTCAAGTAGATACTTTGGTAAGAAAAATAAAGTTACACATCTGATCTAGAGACATGCTCATGAAACGCTCTCAGGATCTCAGCAGAAATTTATCGTTAGAATTTCTGTCAAAATTTCTTCGTCGTTCGCAAATTCTTCTCTTACTGCATATTATACTCTATAATATAATAAACTCCAAAGTATAGTTTATAAAATTGTTTATATAAAAATAATCTTCACATATTATTGTTAATGCATAAAAAAATATTTTCGCACTTTTATTTTTTATATTGAATATAATCTATCAAATATTGTAAATTAAATTTTAATACGTGATAATAGATTAATAATTTCACGAAAACGAGTTTTCGCGACAAAAAGTTTTCAGAAGTGGTTTCGATTGAGCCGATTTAGCAAATTGTACCACAGTTACTATTACCACATAATCAATGAGAGCTCCGTAGGGAGCCGAATGGCGCCGCGCCAAACTTTTAGTACAGTAGTCCTCGTCGTTCAGTAAGGTTTACAATATCAATTCAAACAAAGAGACAAGGACATATGTTTCTAGGATGAATTCGCGTCCCTACATCGCGTACTCTCATTTCATTTGATATGATTGAGTAAATGTGTCGCAAAGAATGAGAAGAATGGTAAAGCCATCCAGAATAATGAAAAATTAAAGCCACCGTTTAAAGCATCTTACATTTCTTACTGTAATCTGTGTGCAAGATATATCTAGAGACATCACAAAATTATAATAAATGACTGCGTCATCATTCTGGCTAGTTAAAAATTTATGCTTTCGTGAGGTTTATTCGCACTAATGTATATTAATGTCATGCATTTAACGTAAGCGGGTTATACCCTATATATTTTTAAAAATTTCTGCAATAAACTTTTAAATTAACATCGAAATAAATTCGAAAAGATTTCTTTTATTTGTTCTGTTTGTGCATTATTGCGAATTATAGATGTGTATACGAAAGATTTAAGGAAGCTATTTATTTCTTAGAATGTTTTTTTCTCTTTTATGATACTCAAATATTAAGTATTGCGATCTTTTATTTTTATTCCATATTTCTTTACTATCTTTTGCATTTTTCTTTTTTATGTTCAACTTTTCTATAAGTTGCAATGGCACTCGTTCATTATCTTGAGAAATTAAAGAAGTTATTAGAAAAATAAATATGTAATTATTATCTATACTTTTTTCTCTTTTTTGTTTGCTGTACATACATTGTCAAAGTTCTTTCACCAAAATTACTTTCTTTTTTATTTTTCTTTACATACAGATCTTTTCTACCGAGAATATGTTGTTGGAATTTTGTGTAATACATATATACATATGTATACAAAAGAGAGAAAGAGAGAACGAGAAAACTTATTTTAAAAAATCTTTCTTGCAAATGCACATGCAAATAATAATTATACATATGTATAACGTTAATTCTTTGAAAGAATTAACGTCATATATTTACATAATTATAAACAATTTTAATTTTTGGTCATTAAAATTTCACATTTCCAAAATTAAAATTTCTAATTTTTGGTAATGAGAGAATATTTTTATTTTCAGTACGATGATGGCCAACATGCCCATAATATTAGTCTTGTTCTCGCTATCCTGGATCGTCGGAATGGTCATCTTCGCTAACTACGCCGACTGCGATCCGCTCTCTCTAGGATATATAAATAAGATCGATGAGATCGTGCCGTTCTACGTCGAAGATCAATTCTTTAATCTACCCGGTATGCTCGGTCTGGTGATGGCAACTCTATTTAACAGCGCCTTGACTTTAGCCGTATCGAATCTCAATTCTCTCGCGACGGTGACATTTGAGGATTTTCTAAGCCACATACCGGCACTGAAAGATCTCAAGGATACGCAGCAGCTCAACACTATCAAAATCGTGGGTTTTATCTACGGTCTGTTAATAATCGGTATTAGTTTCCTAGTAGCCATGCTATCGGGCGTGATAGAATCGTCTATGCTAATGACGTCGGCGACATCCGGACCTCTTCTTGGCGTATTTCTCCTCGCTATGTTGGTACCTTGCGCCAATTGGAAAGGTGCCGCGGCTGGTATGCTTTTCAGCCACGTAACGACGTTGTGGATCACCTTCGGTCATCTCAATCTGGGTATCGTAAAGGAGATGTTGCCATTGTCGACGGAGAACTGCCACAACGAAACGTTTTCGTCGTGGATAACGCAACCAATTAGTTTAGATTATTCCACGCCAAACGTCTCCAGTTTGAACATTCATGAGAATATCACGCTGGCATCCGTCGACGAATCTGATCATTCGTCCAATCCTTTAAATGTTCTTTACAGTATCACGTACATGTATTACGCTTTTATTGGTAGCATTACGACGGTCGTCGTCGGTATCCTCGTGAGCTTGATTACGGCCGATGCCGAATCGGACAAGTACGAAGAACATTTACTGCATCCTATGGCGCGGAAAATAGCGGGTCTATTTCCCGGGAAACAAAGACTTTACGCCACCAGCACCCGACTCGGGAATAAAAACGATGCCACGAATGCCACTCTTTCCTCCATCGCAGTGCCATCCATCGCTGGCAGCACCGAGAAAGGAATAGAAAGAATACCTTCCCTTCAAGGATTTGTGGATGACAAGGGCAAATTGCAACTAGATAGCAACTACGTGGAAAAACTCAACGCGCTAAAGACTGTTTCTATCGACGTAACCAATGAGATGGGCAAACACACCAGATTATGATTCGATCCTAGTCGAGGACAGGTTCCTCGTGTATTATTCGCAACAATATCGTCAAAAATCTCGACATATTTCAAGAGTAGCGGTATACCGCGATAAACTCAATGAATGAGAGAGCAATTGCATGTGTTAGTGCCAAATTTTATTATTCCAACATATATGGTATATATTAGTGGTGGACTTGTGATACGTGCGCGTAGAACGTAATTACACGGAAGCAAAGTTTTCTTCGATTACAGTGCTCGAGCCGCACTCACATTCAGCTCAAAATATCGCTCAAATGAAGGCAATTCAGAGGTGCAATTCGTTAGGAAAACTTCTAACTTGCCTGTGCCAATTAAAGTTAACTACGAAGCATGAGTGTGACGCGTATTTTGTAAACTGTATTTAGACATGAACGTTATTTACTATGGCAAAGATTGTCAAACACGCATATATTGAATAGAATTTGCATCGCTGTTCGCAACGAACGAATTCTACATCAAAGCGAAGAAAATTCGAAAGGAGAAAACGGTCGCGGAATCGCATTTAGTCAAGAATAATCGCAAGTTAGTTCTAAAACGATGCGAGATTAATGATTTAGTTGTCAATCGACAAGGCGAATCTTTTCGTCTATATATATATATATATATATATATATATATATATATATATATATATATATATATATGCGATATTTCAATTGAAGAGGTTGAAATATGTATCCTCATTATATACTCCAATAAGAAGAATCAATTTTTTAATCTCTACTTACATTCCTAATTAATCTTAGGACATGTCTTTAAGAATATATCTTAAAAGTAAAGATATAGATATGCAAGATGTTTAAAAATACGTGATATAATCTAAAAAAGAATAGTTTTATAAACTATATATATATATATATATATATATATATATATTATATATGTATGTATATATAATATATAAAAATGATTCTTATAAAAAATATAGTAAAAAAAAATTATTATAGAATAATATTAAAACTTCGAAATTATAGAATAAAAAATGTGTTCTCGCGCATATTATATGATTCATTATAGAATCACTTCCTTTAACTAATATATTATTATTTTAAAATGCCTAATATGTATACGTGTATATTTATTATATATGTATGTATATATATATATATATATATATATATGTATGGTATGTTTCTGTGTGTATATGTTTAGAATACACGTAATTGGTAGTATAGTAAATTGTACTCAATTACTGGAATCCGGTACTATGCAACACTACATACATACAAATATATATCCACACATATGTACATAAAATATATATATTTTTGTAGGTGAATTTTTGATGAAACAATCACATCAAAGTATGTAAGAGTTCTTCTAGCATAATATTTATCTTAAACTGATTTCCCGAATTTTACACATATAATAATGTGTAAATAGTATTATATTTAACCACAGAAGATATACATATATTGCATACATATTATATGTATATCGCGTTTTCTCGATCCTGCATAAGTATTATACGTGTGCATATCTTATTCTTAAATCATGTCGCGTATCAATTTTAATGTTAAAATTTATTTTTATACTTTAAAATAAAATATAAACTATTTTATAAATAAAAAATGTCTTAAATATATATGTATATACGTAATGAAGATAAAAATCCAGCGACTGTGATCGTTGATTTTATTTGTATATCTCATTGCACATATTATATTTATTGCTTCAATAATATTAGTCATTACTTTTTCTATCTGTCTTGTAATTACTTATTATTACTTCCTCTGTACAATCTCTTCCTCATGTAAATGCGCTAGTAAGTGTGTCTTGAATATGATATACTTCTAGTACTAAATTTATTTTGAAGCAGTTAATCAGTTTAAGAGTGTTTAAATAAATGTTTAAGAGTGTTAATCTTAAAATAAACAATTTAATTGAGCTTTTGAGATGATTGTTCAATATATCCGCACAATTTTGTTGACATTCTCTATATTTATATCTTTTGATATAATTTTCAATATTTTTTAAAGATTACTTTTATTATTATATATTTTTACTTATTCTATATTTTATTTAAATATATTTTTGGCTCCTTATATATGGTTTATTAGTATCATATATCATTTTTAAGTTGTGTTTATATAAAGATAATTATAAAAAATTTCTGTTTGGTAATACATCCATAAATATACTATAAATAAACTATGTATTTTATATAATGTAATTTAAATAGAAAAAAGAAATAAGATCTAATTTTATACGATTCATCTCTCTCTAAAAAAGTCGAAAAAGTGGAAGTAGCCAGACACAGGAAGCGCGCACACATATAAAATGCATACACATGCACATACGTAAAAAAGAGAGAAAATATGATTAAATAATTTATTTTTTCTATATTTATATTAAAATATTGCGGTAATAGAAAATGGCAGGTTTATTTATTTTATTATTAGGCACTATTTGCCTAATATAATATATAATATAGTCAAATATAAAACTAATAAAAATATTTAATTTTGTCTTAAACAAATATATTGAGATTATTGATGTTCAATTCGCGTATGTCCGGGTATCTCAGAGATAACTCGATTTTTCCATTATCCAATTTCAAATACGTGATATCTAAACTACTGATGTTGCTTTAAATGACGCCTACTCGCGAAATATAATCTCTTAGGTTCTATCTCGCACTCAGCACAACTAAGCATCATCAGTCTCATTCGATTATAACTAATCTAATTTAATAATTATAATTATAAATATGAAATAATCGTTGTTTTTTTATTGTTGTTCAATTCTTGTTATAATAAACTAATTATTATGTTTGTGTGTATATAAAAATTAGAATAAAATAACGAATATAATAAATATTAAGAAGGAAAACGCTATAGAAATATAGCGTAGTCTACATATTTAATCTTCAACTATCAACCATCGACCATCGACCATTGACCATCCACGCTATTTCTCTCTTCAGAACTGGAAATTCAAGGCCTCTGGTTCGAGGTGCAGACTGCACAAACACTGGCAACGTTGCAGTAATTTAATGGTAGTAGTATCACTAGTATACAGTATACACCCTACTCTAACAAAACGGCTCTGTAGTAGTGAAGTAGCAGAGCAAGGTCGGTTATATTCGAGAAAACACCGGTCGCTCTTTAGTGCTACGCGCCTTCCCGAGCCAACCACTCGCAAATCTCTTTGCACAAGAAATGATAATATCGTTGGCACGTAGAGTGATAACAGCCCGAATTTCCGCTCTTATCTTATATATTTCTCTCTTTTTTCTCTCTCTTTCGCTCTTCATTAATTTTCCTCATTTTCTTCATCACTTTCTCTCTCTGTCCCTTTTTTCTTCTTTTTTCAATTTCTCAATTATTTCCGTTGCTGTTACAGTGAATATCACCGGCTTTCAGGTTTGAAGCGTGCCGCGAGTACGGTTTCGATCCTGCGCTCTTCGCTTTTTCGAGGCGTTCGATCAAGCCACGAGAGCACTTCCATTTTGACAGTACGCCGGCAAGATCGCGTGGAACACGCGCAACAACTGCGTGCTTATTTCTGTTGGCTATACGAAAGACGTGCTCGATCTAATGTTAGAACGGGCGTGTGGAAGATAATACGTGTCTGTGCGATATTTTACACGTGAAGTTCTATTTCGAGGACAACGCGAGTGCAACGCATCATGGCGGTGGAATCGAGGTAAATGCGCGGAGAATCCGCACACACGTGCTCCGGTGTGTGCGCCGGTAAACACTCTTCACAAAACAATTCTCTCTTGTGGATTTTATCATAATCATTCATGAGGGCCGGAAAATCAACGCAAATAATTTGGGCTTGATCGTCTCAATTGACCAAATCTATTTTAATTAGTTTACACCGAGCACTTGATACGCATATCAAGTACTTATTATATCCGTATTAAACCGTTCGATTGCCACTATAAATGCCCGCGTATTATGATATGATACTTCGAAAACAGCCTATCAAACTAAACTGATATCCGTAAGAGTTTCTACTCGGTGTAAATTAAGTCATATAATAATAAAATGATGGGAAAAATTTGCATTAGAGGCATTATTTTATTACGCATTCCATACAAGCTCGCACAATATGCATTTAATCAGAAGTATGCATTCTAAGTATGCTTAACAAAAGAAAAAAAAATATATCTATTTGTCTGACAAATGTCTATGCACAAGACATTTTTAAAATATATTTCAGTGATAGAAAATTATAAAAAAATTATAGAATCAAAATTATTAATTTCTTTCTCCCCCCTCCAAAAAAAATTATACATTTTGCTATTTTCGCTTTACTTTGAAACCGTGAATAATCAATTTTATTTTTATAATATTTAAATATTAAAATGTTAAATATTAAAAAATCGCTGCACAAAGTGCGTATTATAATTACTGATAATGAGTAATTCGGAATTCCATTGTAAATTGTAAGTTCTCGGTGAACGAAAGGTAATTCATGTCGAAAATGGGACATAAACATATTCGCTTGCGGATTCGCGCGAGCTCATGAGAAATACGAGTTTCTCCAATCTAATGTCGGTACGTTTCACACTGTTATACGAGACAGTGGTGCCCAACTGTTTCGAAGCTGCAAAGTTCCCGACATCATTAGCTCGCAACTTAAAACATGCCCCTGATTGATTGCACATTGTGCATGTTTGCAGAGAGTGCGCGATAGAAGTTAGTCAGTTTCATTCATCAGAAGGAAACTGACATAGAACTTTAATATAAGTAGTAGTTCCCGCGATGTTACTTTTTTTAAGGTTTCTTGCAAACTTGGCAGAGTCACTTTGAAGCTTATCAAATATAGATATCGCCCTTGTAAATCATATTCGATATATTCCATGTTGTAAGATATTGATAAAAAGCAATCTATAAAAGATGCATTATGCAGATAACAATTTTCAAATCTAGAAAAAAAGAAATATATTTTTCTCCCTCTTTTCCTCTTCGCTAACTCATACTTAAATGTCTCAATTTATGTATTAGAACTTTTGTTCAAGCAATACATTGATCGAATCTATCGCGCGTTTCTATTTTAATTGGAAAAAATATTAGTTATTAATAAAATCAGTTATCAGTTTAGCATATATATATTGCTACAATTTTTGTCAACATGTATATCTACATTACATCATGTATAATAGATTATCAATATTTAAATAAATAAAATTATCTAAATTAATTTAAATTATCTTTAATTTAATAAAACTGAGATAATTTGATAAAATTGATATAAACATTACTTTTAATCTTATTATAAATATTTTAATATTATATTATAACACGTACATATCTTGTCGACTTCAAATCGAATTTATCGTTTGTAGCTCCAAAAGTTATAGTTGTTCGAACATGATGCTACGTTTATTAACATGTAGTTAAACTGTAGTTAACCTGTTAAATACTTGTTAAACTTGTTATCCATCTCAATGAAATTAATTATTGTAGCAATATGTATATTAATACTATTAATCTTCATAGAAAGTACACTTCATCACTTGGCTATAGTTTGTCCAAAAATATATATGAAATATTTTGATTGTACGAAAACGATAAAACGAGTTTAAAAAGATTTTAATAAAATATTTAAAAATAAAAAATATAAAAAAAAAATATATATATAAATAAATAAGTAAAGCATTTTTCTGTTTAATTACATTTCCGGTCTATAAAGAATGAAAGCACTTGGTGACTATTTAAATCCAGATTTCATTACAAAATATTAATAAAAAAAGATTAGATGATTCCACTCGACAATTCAAATCTGACGGAATTGCGTAAGCGCGATATCTCATTGTCAGTAACGTGAATGTCATCCGAATTCTTATGTATTTCAACGATAACAAGGGTGCGCGACGCTTGACCGAGACCGGTCACATGTTATACGACATCTTTAAAAGAACTCAGACTTATATATATAGGTATATATGTATATATACAAGTGCATAAATATAAGTGATAACATTGCGTCACGATAAAGGCTCGCGTTACATTATTCATCGAGATGTCTTGTGCCGCACAAAACAGCAGTCATAATTTCTAAAGGTTGCTCGCGCACCTTTCCTTTTTCGCTCTTTAAAGCCATTGTCGAATTCGATGTGTGCCAGACACAGATATAGCAGTAAATTATTAGCGCATCATGCATAAACCGTACGAAGCGAGCCTGTGGAAACACCTGATGCAGCAATGGCCGTAGATCTACAAAGACTTCATTATCATCGCGTGATATATATACACGCGCACTCGAGATCGCGCGGGAAGCATTATTGTCTGTTGGATTATGTTCGCGATCGATCGACGTTCGATTTATCACGCTCGCGCGCGCGATATCATGTGTACTCTTAAGATTTATTATCTTCCATAGAATTCAACGTTATTGTGCCCGAATTGTGACTAGTCAGCGTTGACCCGGTTGATTTCGCGAGAGAAAAAATCTGTTAATGTCCGCGTTAAAAGGAAATATACGAATATAGAGAAATCTATCGTACATATGATTAAAGCCGTGAGATTTGCATCAATTGCCGGCATTGGAAAAAAAGAAATACTTCGAGTTGATATATAGAATTTTCTGATTAATTAAGTCACACATCTTCCGATTGCGATATTAAATCTAATCGCTGATTTGTCAACAAAACACTTCACAATTATGAAAATCATCAGAGATATACCACAACTCAGAATTACTGACATGACCGACTCTAATCAGCATGATCTTGAAAATCATTAGAGATATATACCACAACTCAGAATTACTGGCATGATCGACTCTAATCAGCATTTTCTATAATACGTATTTGTAATGTTTTTCTTCCTGTTATATAAAAAGAATTTTTCTGATATTACGATTACGTAGTTTTTTTATATGAGTGTCTATATACTTGTTTCGTATAGTTTCTTTTATAATGATATAGTATATTTTAATTTATTTATTATAGTATTATTGTAATAATTATTATTGTGGTATATTTTTTGCAATTATGTTTATATGAAATTTCTTGCACGAAATACGAATGTTTGCAATATTGACGAACCCTCATTTTCACACATGTTCATACATTCATACATTATTCAAAAATATATTTGCATAGACACACTAGTAATGAAACAACAGCAGAAAATATGTCATTTTTTATCGCATTGTAATACGCATATTATTTATGTAAATGTTATTTTAATATTTTGAACAGCAGCTTTCGAATATTTGCTCTCTAGTAATTTAGCAATGACGACTTTTGCTGTGTGATAAGCGATACTATGTTTATAGATACGTTTTGTTAAGATAATGCAAATATATTCCACGTAGAAAATACCGCTGACGGTCTTATCTAATGGTTATGCGCTGTCCGACTGAGAAATATTCTGTTTTCCAAGACCCACATTTAACGATTCACTTTTAATTTAGCCCTAAAAGCTGAAGATAATTCCCGCTATTTATATCTTTGACGATAAGAGTGCCATATTTTTTATTAAATAATTATAAAATTACAGTATAATATGCACACACATACAAATTTATTTTCTAATAAAATGTTGCAATATCTAAATGTAAAATCAAATAAAGTATAATTAGAATCAACTTAAAAAATAATTAAATATATTTGCTTGTGTTTAATTTAACATATTACTTTTTATACATATATATAACAATAAAATAGAATAAAAATCAAATAAAAATAATAGTTTCTAGCCTTGAATAATTATTGAAATTAGAATGATAATTAGCGCAAATAAAATTTCGATTAATATATAATTTGTTTGTTGATTTAAATTTTATTTAAATATGCAATAATAAATTAAAATAAATTATAAAAAATAAATATTGATATGACTACTTGTGTCTGTTAAACATAATAAAATTTTTCTTGTAAAGTTCTGTTGTGTGTGTGTGTGTGTATTGCGTCAAAAAGAAATTCAAGAAAATCTTATCGCAAAAGAGAAAAGATTCTCCAAGTTGCTGACGCCAGAGCTACTGAAATCCTATTGTGCCGTACTATACAGATGATAGTATCGATCGTTTGAAAATAACATAGTATAATCGGCAAAGATTACCTATATACTTACATGCATGAAACGAGTCGTAATCGCTCCTTCAGTTATCGATTTAAACTTATTGTGGTCAAATAATTATTTTACACAAACATAAGATATCCCATGTCCGTTTAATGCGAAATATATGCAAAAGACTAAACTTTGAAGAAAATAAAAAAAATAATAGAAATTTTTTAATTATTTAGACACCTAATAATTAGCATATATTTTAAACTGCATCATTATTTATCTCAGTTTTATGTACGCTTTTATTCACTGATTCATTATGAAGCATATGTTGCGTTAAAAAAAGGTGTAGTGATTATTTCTATTTCAATACGCGAATGTAGTCCATCTTTCTATTTGATTTTATTGCGAAAATAATGCAAAATTGCAATATGCGAAGAGATAGACTTAAATAAACATTCCTGCATCAAGAATCAAACTCGGTAAAAGTCATTCCATAGATATATATTGTAGGATATATCGAAATAAAAATGTGAAAACTTTATGCCTTCCTCTGTTTGCAATTCACAAAAATTTTACGAATTTTGCTAAATAAAAAATATGCGAAATATAAAAATAACATATGATTAATCATTTTATATCAATACAATTCAAAACATATTTTGTTTTTATTTTGAAAGATTCTTATAGAAAATTCTATTTCATTTCGTTTAATTTAATCGACTATAATTACGCACGTGAAGCAAAATTATATTATTCTTTAATAATAAAATATTAAAATATTAAAAATTGCAACGTAAAACATAAAATACGCAAAATGCTTTCATATGCTCTCGCAGAAGTATATTGTTGTTTTATGTATCTTTTGTTATGCATTTTTGTGGCTACAGTTATGGGCCACCTATTTTATGAGTAACTTACCTTAATTATTTTTTGATCAGTTAGATCTATGATTTCTTAAACTCACGCGTGTAGATCAAGAAACAAGAGAAAGTCTTTTGCAGGATAATTATTTATTATTGCCAATAGATGAGCTGTATCACGCTCCTTGACAATCATGCCATTTTATGATCGTTTGTTGAATTCGCTGATATTTTAATTTAACTTTACTTTAACCAACAGAAAAAGCTAAACTTTTAATTAAAATTGATTGATTGAAATTTTTGTACTAATATATAATTTATAAAACTGCAATTTATAACAAAATAAAATTATTATTAATTATTTATACAATTTATCATTACTTTACAGGTAATTTAATTAATTGATCACTTAATTTTATATCAGTTAAAGTAAAGTTTGAGACAAAATTTCTACTAAATAAGTTATAGAATGGATAAGCTATAAATTAAAGTAAAATCAGCGCGATATAAAAATAAATTATTACCATTACATATAATTATCAAAATTGTTGATTATTAAGTAAATAGATAAAGCAGGTAAAATGTAAATTTCAAAAATTTTTTAAATTTAAGTATTTAAATAAATTGAAAAAATTGCTCTTCCTATAATTATCCTTTTTTAATTTTTATTTTATCTTGGATTATATTCACGCATTAAAGCAATTTAATAAAAGTTATTCAATCTAATCTTTTAGCTTATCCATTTTGAGGCAACAGATTTATTTACAATTCCTACAAATTCATTACCTCAAAATTAAATAAAAGTTTTTCACTCACCGACACCGATGCGCTATAGCGGAGTTGTTGATATCGAAGTTACGTTGTCTGTAACACACAAATATAAAATCCAAATTATCGCAATGTTAAAAATAATTAATATTTTAAGAAGTTATTATTATACGCGTCGAATTTTATATTCAATATAATAACATATAATAGCATATAATAACAAGCAGACATATAAATAATTTTATAAATTTATAAACATAAATATTTTAAATAAGATATAGAAACACTTTTATATAATTTATATAAAAGTCTTTCTCTTTCACAATCTCTCTTGTTTAAATTACTCAAATAAATTAACCGAATTAATGTGCCGCGCGTATACGTAATTTATAATAATTAATATACAAATAATGGCACTCACCCTAAAGGTTGTACTGCCGGTGCCCGAAGCCTTGCCTAGCCCTCTTCCTCCTCTCAGGTCATCAGGGCCAACAAGGTCCGTTGATTAATACGCGCGACACTTTTAACGGTACTCCCGCACTTGTATACGCGCGATACTTTTGACAGCACTCCCGCATTTGTACGCGCGCGATATTTTTAATGACACTCCCGAATTTTACGTTGTCTCTGTAACATACAAATATAAAATCTAAATTATAACAGGGTTTAAATGAATAACTATTTCAAAAAATTATTATTAAAAATTATTTTTAGAAATCAAGAATCTATTATACATTTTGGGTACTTGATTTCTCATTCAGGATAAATCTTAAAGAATTAACCTATGGGAGGATTATTGTATTATATAATTTTATTATATAATACAATCTTTAATCTAATCAAATATACACGCGCTAAGCATAGCTTATATTATTCTTTGACAATAAAATATTAATTGTGCAATGCATAAAAATGCAATGTTTAAATCTTTAACAGAAAATGCGAACAAAAAATTGAATTTTCTACAAGAATCTTTTGATCAAAATGTCTGCGATTTCATTAGACTCATGCATCTCCACATATTCATTGCACTGTACGAGACTTATCATCATTACTGACCGCAAGCACAAGACTTGCACGGTAGATCTGACAACGAAATTTAACTTTACAGCCAAAAATAAACCGAGTCCGTCGAGGCCTTGCCTTATGAGACTCAACATATCTCTCTTTCTATCTTTTCCATTAAATTCGAGCGCCCTATACGTCCACCACGCTGCATGTTTTGCGTGAGACTGATCCCCACCACCGACCGCAATACTTTGTGCAGTGGTATCTCCAACTAACGACGAAACCTAACTTGACAGCCAAGAAGCCGAGAGCTGAGCCACAGACTGCAGTATGTGGCCGAGCCCGGCCCGGTGAAAACCGTCTAACAAGATCCAAAATCTAATTTTTTTTCTCTTTAAATACCAAATGCTATCTTTATAAATAAATATCTTTATACAATACATACGTGTAGTATATATATAATAATTATATTATTATAATATATATAAATATTATAATTATTGTAATATAAATATAAATTAAAATTAATTAATACAGACATATATAATAAAATATTAAGATTTAATATATATATATATATATATATATATATATATATATACACTCTTCGGGTATATACATAGAGTTTCAATTAGATATTTATACCTATAAAACAATAAAATCAAAGTATTTGAAGTATTTTTTATTTCATACAAAAATATATTCATCATTGAAATCAAATAGTACGCCATTATTTTAGCAAATAATTTCGGCTCTTATAATGAATTATGAATATTAAATAAATATAAAAATAGAAAATGTCATCCTTGTCATTTTTTCTATTTTCTAACAAAAATCTTTATTTGCGTTGATTTAAATCTTGTTATAATTATATTGATTTGAATAAGTATATAAGTAATGCTTTTATGAATGAGCTAATTAATCTGCTCTGATATAATCGGATTTATCAATAATTAGCGGCGCGTTCGGATAACAAGCATAATGATTCATTTCAGATGGATGCCGTGTCAGCTGAAAGTTGAAACGAATTTGTGTAGCGGCGATTATGATGGCATTATTCTGGTGTCAGGAAATGCTCCTGGAACCGACGAGCCAGAACCCTTCAAAACCGTCCTTTACTCTGCTGCCCAGATCGATGCCGCACTGGGCGTGATCGGCGCGGTTTTGCCCATCAATTTGCTCGCAAAAAGGCTCATTTACAGTCCAACGGGTCCGCTTAACATGGATTATCACGATGTGCGGAGCTTTGCAGAGGCTGCCACGAAGGGAATAAAGCGGTAATTCCTTTGTGTGATCTCCCACACGCTTTTCTTTCTCTTTAGTCCTCCTTTTTAACGCGAGAAGTAACAAAAGCAGTTGTAGGAATGTATTTTATGTGTGTGTGTTATCGACATATCGTTTTAAATATGACTTCATGATATATCAAATAGAAATAAGCAATAAAAACGGTGAGATTTTCTGAATATATATATACAGAAAAAAGAATATAATATCGCAGCAAAAATCATTATTTTGCATATATAAAATAAAAGTAATTAAATTTTGTTATCGTAAAAAAATAATTATTTGATATTACAAAAGAAATCTTATATTATACTAAATTAGTAATAAAATAAAAAAATTTTTTACGTATATACTTTGTAGAAATATATTTTGTTGCAAAGTGTACACTTTACAGTAAATTTAATTTGATTTGCTACAAAATAGTTTATTTATAATCAATCAAATGTATTTTGTTTTTGCAGTGAAATCATTAGTTAATATTGATTGGAATAAATATCAATTCGTTATTGTAGCGAAATAATATATATAATAAAACTATTTTTTCGATAAATAAAATTATTTATATTTCTTTCCTATAAAAATTAATAATATTGCCACGACAGCATAACATATGTTATGCCAGAAAATAAAAGAAAATTCATCGAGAATTTCTCAGAGATTTATAGCGGTAAATTCTTTATTCGTCACTTTTATTTCAAATATACAATAGTAATGATTTTGCTATGACATTAAACTCTTTTTTTGTATATTCAGAAAGTCTCACAATTTATTGCTATTCGATATATATTTTTACTTCGTCAAAACTTTTATTATTATAGAAACATTACGACAAATGCAATATAAATGCTTGGTGCTTACATTTTTTATTTATGGGAAGTATTATGTTATTATGAATAACCTAAACTTCAGTTCGTAAGTCTCTAGCGGTTCTTGGTGATCGCCATTACTACACTGGGAATTGCCCGTTAATTCAGCGCTTTATATGCTGTCAGCGAATTAAATCGTGGTTACCAACGCCGCTAGATAAGTCCTGGTTATCTGTCGTTTCGTAGGAAGATTGTATTATACAGCGGCAGACAAAGAAAACGACAATATAATGACACGATGCTATTAAACTAATGCTGCGCATTGCAGCAATAATGATTTTTTCTGATCTTGACAATTTCAACGAAATATCTATCTCGATATCCATTTTTCGTGATATATACGTTTTAAAATTTAATGACTATAAACAATAGCTGCATCAAATTTTATTGCATATTTTTATTAAAGAATAAATATAATCAATAAAATACTCGCTGATTTTCGGCGAAATCTTGTAAGTGAAACTGTTACTTAATGTTTAATCAGTAAATTTTTTTACAGTGTAAGAGAGAGAATATTCTAACAATAATTTTTAATATCTGTAATATATTTCTAATAAGCATTCTTCAGCTCATTGTCAGTAACATTTTGTGAAATTCGCTGCAATATCACAATGCGTAGATTCCAATGTTTTTCACATATATTTGAACTTGGCGAGCACGTGCAGGAAATGATGTTATATCTACATTCTCGATAATTTACAAAGATCTAAAAATGCCGCATTTTTCCCCGAATTCGTTTTAATTAATCGTAATCAATAGTAATTAATCAAAGGCCCTTGATTGCATGTTTACATGCAATTTCGAACATCTTCGTGCCCGCATACCGATGCATTCGCGCATTCAAATTTTTAACTGTCGCGATATGATGGTCTTGCAACGAAACGAGTCGTGCACTGACAGTGTTTTGTATACTCGAATAGCTGCATAGAGGAAATGCAATGATGCGCAAACGAAATTCCACGCGAACCATATGCCTGCTCGTTCTCTGAAATTCGATTGAAAAATGAAATTCCTGTCTGTTTGCCGCAACTGTTTTTTTTTTGACTGAACAGTGGCAACGTCAACGAGAGATTGGCGTGGAGAACGTTCCATTTTAGATGAGAAAAATCGGAGATTGTACCTCGTAATGCTTTGCAATGTTGAAATATATTTCGCTTCAGTAATAAAAAAGTTTTATCTAAATCGATGAATGTATTGCATTCAACGCGGGTAATAAAAATAGCATTAGAAATATCTGATGATTGATAAACATTCGAAATATATATAATTGATAATAATATAAATAATAAAATTTGTACACATATATTATGTGATGTGATATATATTGTGATTAAAAATAAATAAAAGAAAATGTATTTAAATAATTATGTATAAAAACAGATTCTATTAGAAAATACTAATTTGAATATACAAGAATTCAACATGTGTTTTCTTCTATTATTACATTATTTGGATGAATCTAGTGCAATGTAATTCTAATAGAGTATATAAAATACACTGAAACAGATTATAAAATTAATAAATATTTACTTCAATATTGCCTAGTAAATTATTTATTTAAAACAAATAAATATTTATCTGTTTTGAAAAGAATTTTCTTATATCAAAATATTTTTCACATCAAATCAATATTATTAGTTTCAAATAAATGATTTATTAGGCAGTATTGAAATAAATATTTATTCGAATTCAATAAATTTTTTTGCAGTGCAACTGTTCGACTCTATATCATTTAAAAGTACAATTTGCTTGCTTTTTATGAGATTTATTTCTTTCCCTCTTTGTGCAAGATACTTATTAATATTCTGCAGACGAAGACAACCATGGTCTACGATTTGTATTGTCTTAATTGTTACCAATGTTTCTTGCAAAATTATTATCACACTCCGTTACACACCCGAGCACAATAATGCGGTACCTATTTGTAAATCCTTTTGAAATTCCGGAATAATAATGACCCACGATTCTACGCGACATTAATATCAAACTCAGAAGTGCTCTGTTAAATTGAGAACAGAACGAGAGAATCGAGAACCGCTTTCGAGAAACGACAGTTTCTCGAAATTCTAAAGTACGAGAAACGCGCGCATTGAGAATATAACAAAGTTTAAATATGATAAAGCGATATTTCAAGGATAGATTAATAATTCGTGATACGCCGAAGCGAGAAATCCTCAATTACGCGGCTGCGTTTGTGTTATAAGCAGACAAGACGAAAATTGGACACGAAATGAGCGAAAATAGTTACTCAATGACAGAACCGCACCTATCCCCAGGGAAAACCCATTTCTTTTTTCCTTTTTACATTGACGTTCGTCCCTCGGGTCGGTAGTTTCTGCTATCCTCTGTAGATTTTGTGATATCAATATTATTACGTATAGATTCACGGTAGCCATTGACGATCGTTGAACGTGGCCAATATATCTGTATCATAATTACGGTCAGATTCCTCTCAAGTGTATGAATAATGCCTTTCAATCTCTAAATCTCATCTCTAGGGTATATCTTTCGATCCTTCACTGGATTCTTAGATTGGCATCCTTTCGTTTATCTGTCTGTCAACGGGAGAAGTCTCTTGACCGTTCGATCCTTTCGCCGACATCCCTTCTTTTAATGAATGATAGATAGGGCTATCGAACCCATGATAAATAGAGAGGAATTCTTATGTCACAGCGTGTTATATCTTGTATCCGTATAATAATAATTTTTGATTATTGAATTAAAATTAATAACTTTAATCTAAATTTAAATTCAAATATTTTTATCGATACGACGATAATTTATCAGTTTGATTGGTTTCATAATTTTTCTTTTGCATTTATCAGAGCTTTGCAAGCTGGAGTGAAGAGTCCTTTATTAGTGCTGTTGCCGGATGACCGTTTTGAGAACGTTGAGCTGGTCACGCTTCTTGGTGCCCTCGAGGCTCTCTACGTGGTAAGTTTCATATCCATGAATTATTAATTATAATACTAACGCATTAAAATATTATGATGAAGAAGTTACATTTCAAGATCTTTTTATATCCATAATAATTCAAATAATTTTAATTTCGATAAATAAAATAAGATCACAATTGCGTGTAAAAATATATATGATAAAGTCGATAAATAAATTTAATTTTATTGAAACATTGCGCGTAGAGAAAGACATATTTGTACAAAAGATCATAATTATTTCATTTGATTTAATTTGTCTAAAAATAATGACTACTTTCTGTAAGAGTTGTTGAATATGGCCAAACGTGAATCGGTCGGAAAATTTTAATTATCTTATATATATATATATGTTATTACAAAAAAGAGTCAAATATGAAAAAAAGAGAAATCAGAAAAATCTGGTCAAAGTTGAGAGAATCGATAAGCGAATGTTACTCGATTGTGCCAATATATCCGCTTAAGGCATTTCGCAGATAGTTGGTACAGTTGTGGTTACACAAGAGCCGTTTAAACCAATCAAACAGATACAGTACAGCTTTGTGCGCACTTACATCGACGGAATAGGAAGCCTCTGTTGTAGTTGTATTTGGAAGGAATTCACCTCCGTGTTTCAGCCGAGTTTGGTGCGCTGTGGTCTGATTGGTTTTGAGGGGGAAGGAAGAGTTGTTCACCATATTCTAACTCTACTAAATCCATCCACCTTGTCTCTATAAACTAAATCGCTGCTGTGATCTCAATCCATAACTAACGACGTAATCGCACGGTCCGCGTGACGTAGTTCAACTAAATCTGCGATATTTTGCGAAAACGCGATTTAATTCTGCCCCATTAATGTCCGATCATTCCAATAAGATCTTCGTTCGTAAATGGCCGCGTCATTACCCCGAAACCTTCGCCCGGGTATTCATTACTTAACGATTACGAGAAACCGGGATATATATCTCGCAGTAATTAGCAAACGTATGTTCCACGTATGGTAAGGATTAATCCAAGTATCTGTGCATCATAATCTACACATCGAACGCAATTACTATACGATCGAACGAGTGTTCAATCTCCGGTTGACTAAGCGAATAGAGAATCGATCGGTCGAATTCGAGCTCTCGATAGAGCTCATTTTTCTCCGATAAGAACGTATGTACGTGACGACGACAAAGAGCCATCACGACAATACGCGCCAAACAACAACGGCGTCTACAGCACCGACCGAAAATAAGACTATAGACCCGCTAGCCTCCGATCCTAAACGGGGTTTCGTTGAACGACATCTTGAATAAACGATCGCCCGATGATAGATACCGACGGCGAAGAGCACGGTCAACACGGTCATCAAACAACACCTGCCACCGACAGCCATCGGGCGCAAGCTGCGCTTGATGGATAAGTGTGGTGTGGCGTCTCTTACGCGAGATATCAGGTTGCGCAACTCGATTGCAAGCTCCATTGTTCATTAACCTCAGCGTCATGGTTAATTACGATCGCGATAGTATCCGCGTTATTATGCGAACTTGGAAGTCGGAAGTTATCCAGCACGGGTATATACGCGGCGCAATCGATTTGCGAATCCTATTAGTAATCGCTTTACCAGCGCGAGCCGTCCGATCGATCGCTTCGCATGCTCGGTGACTGAGCATACTTAATTGGATACAACTATTGAAAGAGTCCCTTCCATTGAAAACATTGCAAATGTCAAATGTCATACATGACGGCAGAGAAATTTTTTTTTTTTTTTTTGCTAAATGCAAACAAATAGGGATTAATATAATTAGAGAATTTTTGTGTAATGGAATTTTTGCAGCCAAAATATATTATTATTATCATATCGACCGTGATTTTTATATTTGTAGTATTATTCCAAAAGATTATTCTTTTTGCATCGTTGTAATTTTACGAGGTAGAATAATATAATAGAATAATGGGATAACAGTGCAGGGAATAGTGTGATGTATACAAATTTTTCTTTTGCTCAAATCACTCTTTCGTTAAAACTATAATTCCCAGTGACACGCAATACATATACATGTAAACGTTAATATAATATTGATTTATTTTTGACATGAAACACAGAAATATAGCTATATACTAGAATGAAGGCAATTATACAATATCTCTGGACATTTACTCCTTCTTGTTGAATCAACGACAACGAACGGGCGGTAACGTTAAACCGATATAGTAACAATAGTTAGAATAGGAAGACCTTGCTTGCATGTGAAATTTAGATTATACGTAACAAAAATCTCTCATTTTATATTACAAAAAAAATAAATCTTTTACAATTACACGAGAGAGAGAGAGAGAGAGAGAGAGAGAAAATGTAAATTTAATTTATTTTGTATGTAGTAATTTAAATGTGATTATTTCTATGTATAATTAAATATTAAAATTATTTATTATATATACTTTATACTTTCATAAATAATATTATATTTACGTATAGTATTTTTAACTTTTCATCAATTTCTTAAATAGAATATATGACATAAAAATTAGTTATAACAGTTACGTAAAATTGAAAATTATGAAAATTATTTTGTTGCTCTGTGCTTTTTAAAAGAAAATATGTAACCTATCATATACAATATGTTAACGTATATTTCTTGAAGTAAAACTAATTTAATTCATTGATAATTCGATATCACAGTTAATCACAAATTTTGAATAAAACGTTTATATATTGCAATATTGAAGTTTGATGCGATATTTATTGTTTCGAGAAATAATGTACCAATAGTATTATCAATATTATTGCGTGTGACACGTATCAATAATTAATTGGACAAATCACACAAACGATAATCACACAATCACCAGCAATTTAATTTAATACCACGTATGTACACTTCATTTCTATCTTCGGCTTAAAACTCGTTTCATTGATATCTATAGTTGATCTCTACCCTTATATACTGTGTATCCACTCTATTATCCAAAATCGATTTCTTCCTAGACATTAACGGGCGGTAAGCCTTATCTAATGTGGCGGATATTCTCGTAACTCGTTGTCCGTCGATAATGGGCATTCTTGTCTCCTAAGTTCAAGGACCAAAACTTAAAGTTTGGAGAGAGGAACAGTCGGTCGGTGGAGGACGAGGTTTGTTTGTGGGCGGTGGTGGATTGTAGCAAGGGGTTAGAAGGACGCGGCAGGGATAAGCCGAGTACTCTGCCCTATCAAGAGTAGCAAATGCTTGGCGTTCCTGAATCCTGGCGGCTGGTGAGGCGACCTAATTAGCGAAATACTCGAGCCTTCCTTCTCTCCCTTCCACCTAACTCTCTTCCTGTCTCCGTCGTCTCAGCTTCCGACCGCTCTCTCAGCCCGCGGCACGGTAACGTTGAGCTCCTACGCTTCTTTCCTGATAGTTCCCTATCCTCTGTAGGACCTTCTTGCCTCTCTTGTGTGTCGCTCGTTCCTTCCATCCGACACAAATACGGGGCATCGTTTTCCAAATACCGAAAGCATCCTCGGAATTTCTGTGCCGCGTAATCGGAACGTTGCGCCGTCGCTAACGTTGCGTGAATCTCTTTCTCTCTTTCTTTTTCTCGTAGTTTTTTGATTTTTCGATTCTTTCCGCGCTTGCTCGCACGAACGCGCGTCAGTGACAACGAAAAAGGTCGCGATAGAACGGGCCAAGCACGTGTCGGGTCGCGAATTCTTTTTATTGGAAAAAAATTTGAGAAATAGTCGTGCAAAAAGGATTAGCCTGCTATATTTCTAGTTTTTTATTACGTGAAAAAATTATAGGAATATTCTCTCCAATTTTCCGGAATTATTTGTAAATTATTTAAATTGTAATTTACATAATTAAACTATGATTTTTCCACAGTTTTAACACAAACTGCATATTTAAACATGTAAAATGCATATTAAAAAATTTTTAAAAGAGAAAATGTTATATACTTTGAAATGTTGAGTTTTTAAAGCAAAGACGGCTACTTAGATCTTTGCTAGACGTAAAAATCGGATAGAAAATCTTTCAGTCGGTTTATACGTAAGTCCATAAGAGCTATAAACTTCATTATCTACAAAGTGCTCATCCGATAAGAAGATTATCGTACTTAACGTTTCATGCGGACGTATAAACTTCTCTTTCTTTATTATACTCTATTCAAAAAGAATTAATTAATGATATATGCGGATTGCAAATATTTCAAAGATAAGTCATATTAATACATATTAAAATAATAAAACGGATAAACATTTTGTAGAACATATTTTATACAGAACGTCGCGAATTTTCCGTAAATCCTAAAAACCCTTCTCTAAATCTTTCTAGCAAATTTTAAATTAAAATTTCAATATAAAAACCTTCTGTTAGTTTTAAAAATGCAATTCGTTACTTTGTTGTTTCCCGTATCGTTCTTATTTATATTTGTATTTGTATTTATTGTATTGTATTTGCATCGCTTCTTATGATAATTTTCAACTTGCAATGATATTTTCATAGCCTCTGGAGGTGCGAGAGATATGTCTGGATCGGTGTTACAAAGCGTGTCAACTCGGGGTGTGGAGTCCGATTTGCCCTAAGAAGCTTCAGGGTATCGTGAAACTCGCCTCGGCACTCGAAAGTGGCAGATACGTCGCAAGGGACATTGGTAAGTTCTATCCCGTTCTATTCCAGACACGTACATATATATATATATATATGTATATATGTATATATATACATATATACACACACACACGCACACAATTCGCACAGTACTTTATCGAGTGAACGGAGCAGGTTTTCCTGTCCGCGTAAAGGAAGAGGTGCATGGGTTTCCGTCGCGAGTTTCCGCTTCTCATGGAAGAAAATAAGCTTAGGAGAAAAAAATCGCCCGCGGCTTTCTACTTGTCCGAGAGAGGTCTTTTGGCTCCCGATTAATCGAGCACAATCCACCGCTCCTCGTGTTCCGGTGCTTTAAGTTCAGTTGAAATAGCCCCCGGGAATTATTGAGTTTAAAGTTTAAGTAGTCGACGATTTGAAGAACTTAAGTGTTCATTTTTAACGTTACGCCTCATGAAGAAGAAAAATAAAAAGCTCTCTCCTTTCCGGTGGACAGCTAATAATAATTGAAATTTCTACGATTGCCTTAGCATTTTATAAATGAATCCTATATGCGTGGCATTTTTGCGGGAATCAAGTATATGGGGTTATCATACGTATATATAAACTTTCATACACATTCCTGTTCAGTTATGTTGAATACAGAACATATATTCGCTCGCTCTCGGAATGAAACTAGAAAAGTGGATAATACAATTTCGTAAAGTAAACTCTGATGACCTGGCCGTTTTCCGCGGGCTCAGTCGAGTCTGAATCATTCGCATGTGCCGGAGTGAAGAATAAATTATACGCGGAGTGCGAATTTTTCAACGTTATTCGGGCGCGAGAAATCGTAAAGACATTCGCAATTATTAATTTGAGGCACATAATACGTCTTTTATGCGGTTTTATAGATTCGTTAATGCTATATACAATTACAATCTATAACGGTGTTTTTATTCATTATTTTTCTATCAAACAACGATAACAAAGGCCAAATAATTAAATAACAGTCTCGTGATTTCAGCTTGTCAAAGAGTAAAAATAATTATGATATGCAGCTGATGATAAATATTGTGTTTTTATCTAAAATAATTGGATGGAATGCATTCTTCGTAGAAAGAGAAAGAATTCAAATGTTCTAGGTTTCAACTTGCATATGAAATGAATAGATGAAAGTTTATTGACAATTAAAAATATATAAATTAATCATAATATGTATATAAAAAAATTAATATAAAACATAAAATTAGAAAAGAGTAATTACTATAAAAAATTGACCAATTTAAACTAAAAAATTCAATTATAGAAATATATTAAATATATTATATAAATGTTTCCCGTTTTCATCGAAATCAATTGTATAAAATAGCAAAGTATAAGAGTATAAAAAACAGAATATGCTTTCTTTCCAATTATTTTATCAAATTTTCAAATACATCATTCCTCTAATATTCAGCGATTCAAATCTATAAAATATCGATCTATTTTTTATTAAATCTCTATTCATTCGTATTTTATTAATATTTAGCGACATGTTTTATCCGCCGTATTAAATTAGGAGGCGCAGATCCTGAAAGAATGGCACCTCCTCGAGTGGAAGAGTATCTGGCGGAGCTGTTTTGCGGCTCAAATGTCACGATGCAAGTGATATCTGATCAAGACACCCTACTTCAAGAGTACCCATTGTTCGCCTGTGTAAATCGCGCTGCCTCGGTGATACCACGTCACGCCGGTAGAATTATATTTTTGACTTATGAGCCACCCGCCTGCGTCTTGGAGACGATCATGCTCGTAGGAAAGGGTGTCACTTACGATACCGGTGGTGCCGACATCAAGTGCCAGGGTATCATGGCAGGGATGTCGAGGGACAAATGCGGCGCGGCCGCTTGCGCCGGATTCATGCAGGTGCCGCGTAATATATCATCAAGCTTGTCGTAATACATCACGCCGGAAACGATCGCGTTTCCCTTCGCTTCTCTTAATAATTACGTTTTAATAAGTTCTTTGCCCAACTGCGCGAGAGTTGGGAGATTCTTGAAATAATCATCCTTACGGCAAGGTGTAGAAGGCATTAATGGTCTGGTTACACGCTCTCTCGCTCTCCTCCTTTCCCTTTTTCTCATATATATCGCTTATCACTTTGATAAAAAAAAAATCAAGAATTTTAAAAATATTAGTTTAACAAATTTAATGATTTGCAAGGTAGCGAGGTAAAATCAAATAATAATGCATGAAAATTTAATTGCGCAAAGATAATTTCACATATGTGTATGTATCGAAAAAATATAATTCTTGCTCAATATTGTAGATAGTGAATTTATTGCAACCACCGACGGTGAAGGTCGTCGCCGCTTTGTGTGTGGTAAGAAATAGTATAGGCGAGAACTGTTATGTCGCCGATGAAGTGATAACGGCAAAATCCGGCGCAAGGGTACGCGTTAACAACACAGACGCCGAAGGAAGGATGGCTATGGCCGACGCTCTGTATCATCTCAAAGAAATGGCCTTGTGTTCCGTGAACCCGCATCTCTTCACAATAGCCACGTTAACAGGCCACGCATTGTTATCTGCAGGCCCAGGATATACCGTAAGTTGCATTTTCGTTCGTTATGCCTTTAACCGCATTTCAGTAAATGTTAAGATAACACGCGTAGCTGCTCGAATTCCTATCGGTCGGATGACGATATAACCTGCCATGAAATAACGAAGAGAGCGAATAATCTCATTGTGCTACCATCGCGCGCAGCAATAACAAAGCTAGATGCTCGATGCGCGAATTGGCGCGGGAATGTGTACAGACAGTTACGTATTTGTTGATTCATTGAGGAAAGCTTAATTGGACAGGGTTATAAATGACCTAGATGCAGTGCGCAATTTGCCCGTGCCTTAGTGTTATATCGAATCCCGGACATGATATCAAATGATGTGTGATGTGAAGGCATATGACTTTGTCATAAAAATTATGTTCGTTGTATACGATAACTCATTCCTTACTTTATTACATATGAAAAAAGACATTCTATCTATATACTTTCGCCTAATTCATACATACATATAATATATTTATTATTATAGATTGCGATGGATAACGCCGTTGCACGATTGTCTAGTAATGCGGAAAAGCTTCAAGCTTCCGGCGAAACTATGGGAGATCCGTTTGAAATATCGCGAATACGTAGAGAGGATTTTTGCACACATGAAGGATACGCGGAAGGTGACGATATTCGTCAAGCGCTGAATCAACCCAGTTCCAAAGTTCCACGAGGTCATCAAGGACCAGCGGCCTTCCTAATTAAGGCGTCTGGATTAGACAAGGTATCGTATTTTTTTTATTTTGAGATTTTAACGAGTTTCCAAATATATACATTTCTTAACAATTTATGACTTTTAGCACGGTATCGGATCAGAAAAGCCTCTAAAATACTGCCATCTGGACGTAGCGGCCAGTGCCGGTTCTCTACCCGAACAACCAACCGGTTCTCCGGTTGTAGCATTAGCTAAAAAGTTTCTTTTTGACAAAATCGATACTGCGGACACCAAAAATCCGTGATACATTAATACCAATTGTCTTACATATGTATAATGTTTTAAATAATTAATATTTGAAACCTTGCGCGTAAAGATATTAACCGGAGCAAATAAACACGATTAATCATCTCCGTAAATTCTTGACTCTCACAGAGCTTTTATAAGCTGTAAAGCATGAGTTTAATACAAGCGTAAACGATTATACTAGGATCGTTTACAGTATTAAATTTATCAATAAATATAAACATTTAAAATTTTAGAAGTGGCAATTTTTTTCTATTTTTCTTTCTTAATAGATAATAATAAAAAACAAATTTGCATTATTATACTTTGGGAACAGAGTAAAATTTGATATTTAATCATTTACATTAACTTCTATTTTTTAAAACTTTTCTAGTAATATATCGCGGCACTAATTATGTCCGGAATTATTTGACAGGTAAAATTTTTTCTCACGCGTTAAAAATATTACATATAAAATGTTAAGCCGTTATTACAATAAGTAAAAAATATTAAAAAATATTTTCACATCTCTTGTAAAAACATTTACACTACGTTATATCGCATCTATCACTCAAAAACGCCCGTTATTCCCTTGATTCTCTCGAATTAAGTTCAATGAATCTTTTATAAGCGATCGATTTATCGCAGGTACCGTGAGTAAGCATTAATGGCAGATTAAGAAGCTTTTCTCCATTACAATGACGTTTAAAGACTCATTTATCCAGTTTGCTCTCCATCTGCCTTCTCTTTTTTCGTAATTTTCTCTCTCTCACTCCCTGACTTTTTCCTCTTTTCTCGTTTCCTTTCTCATCCATTTCGTATCGATTACAGCACGGAGTTTGTAGTTGTACCCCTTTAAAGTACACGCACATCGATTTATACGGACATCTACGTCAGCCTGATCGCATCCCGTACAGCGGCAATCCTGTCCTAGCCCTGTCCTATTGTTACCTGATCCAAGGAAAGTGTCTGACGCTACGAAACGAGTTTCCCTACGAGATGCAATACGTCTGCGAGCTCGACTGTAAACCTGTCTGCACATCGCCCTGTGACCCGAGCGGAACGCCTTCTCCACCGATCGCCAGGGTTCTCACGTGTCCGAAACCACCCTGCGAACCGCATCAAGCGGAATCGTATCCACCCGCCCAATCTGCAGCGTTGTGTCAAGCCTGTCAGCCATGTAATTCAGAAACGATGTATCACGGAGCAATAAGTCAATCAAACGTCCAAAAAAATGAATTGAACCCTCGCGCTTGACAATACGTCAAGTTATGAGATATTCGTGCGATATGAGAATTTACGAGGATTACTCCTATGTAACGAATCGTTAATCTCGTCATCGATTTGAATTTGAATTTTTTTTTATCGCCGTTTTACTCATTTTATAGAATTATGTTATTTCGATGTGTAATATACATTTGTACGAATAAAGTATGTATTGTGCATAAAAGTCCTTTTTCTTTGTCATCTAGAAAAACATCAAAATTGTTTGAAAAATGTATTACAATTATCGAGCGAGAAAAATTTAGTATATCCAAGCATAACTACATTTGCTATCTATAGCCAGTAAATTCACTGACGTACCAGATATCTAATACATCTAGAGTCAAGGAAATGTATCTACTGTTGGTATGACACTACCTGACACTATTACTAAAGAATGGTTATTAACGTCATATATAATATTAAACTTACTAACAGTCAGTACATCAACTTAATATTTTCAAATTTTTTAAACTTAACTTATTTTAAATATATGCAAATGTATTGTATATTAATTTCTGAAGAAAAATATGCTATAATCAAAATGTTTCTAATGTCAATCATTTTCAAATTACAGCTATATAATTATTATTAAGTACAGCTAAACTTGATATAATTATTTGCATTATAATAAAATTGTACATATAATAGCAATATTTATAGATTTAAAATATATCGATGCGAATAAAAATTTATTGCGCATCGAATAGTATTCCTTACAAATATATTACGAAACTTATGCATAGTGGTGTTTTGTATTTTAAGACTCATAATAACATTTTCCTTTTGTAAAAAAAAACATTGAACTTTAACACTTAAAAAAATATATGCACACCCGAGATAATTTTCCTCTATATTAACTGTGGCAATATTTTTTTAAAATTATTCACGCGTTTTAATTACAAAAATGTCTCCAGAAAATAAAAGAGTATTTTTAAAAATGTATAAATGTTTGAAAACTATTTTATATTTTGAATTCTATATTATTATACATTCATTAATGAATTAAACCACATTCGACGATCACCGAGAATGTTTTATAAGCTTGACGCGAGTAAGAGAATGCCGTGGAAGGAAAACTTAATTACGCTACGTCCTTTCTTAATTAAGAGAAAATGTTTGGCGTATCTCGCAGAGATTACCGCGAGCAAGGCAAACTTCCGTTTGCGTTACCATCGCGTTGGCTTTCTCACGATCGAAAGCCCGATCCAAAACACTAATGCTGGCATCATTTCTTGCAAGAATGCTGATGTTATGCCAATTGAATGGATTGGTAAAATACGATTATTTATACAATCTTCATCATCCTGTTAATTAAATTTTCATGAATCCAACATTACAACCTCAAATTTACGTGTAAGTAATTTACATATCAATACAAAAAATCGTTATCAGCTCTTGCGATTTATAAAATTATTATTTAAGCTGTATCAATTTAACGCTATTAGCATCTAATGCAGAAGTTTGCAATAAAAAAAAATCCGAATTGTCTTCATCATTCATAATTCCTTTATCACCGATCTCAAGTATCGATCGTTTAGCGAGTACATGCGCAAAACATGAATATATTCATCGTAAGCCATCAATATCAGCTCGCGAAAACACGTTACCCTCGAGACGAATTGCGGGGGTAGAAGGGAAGAGGGACCAGCGTCCGGCTCACAGACGGTAAACATAGTCGCAGGGAGAGACAGCGTTATCAGTGACGCGAGAGTTGACATTGTTTGAAGAAGTTGAAGGCAACGCGACTCACCGGTTGCAAGGAACGACGTGGGGTTCGCAAGGAGGTAACACATTGGACGGGGGAATGAAGGGCGTAGAGGGGTGAAGGAAGAGAATGAGAGAGGAGGGGGCGGTAGGGGGCAGTGTGGCGGGTTCGACGGCCGGCTGGTGGCCCAGTGACCGGGACCGGTTCCCTCCGCGGTTCCTCCTTCCGCCTTCCTTGCGAACGCACAACTGCATCATCTCGACTCACCTCGCTTCGCCGTCTCTTTTTCTCTCTTTTTCCCTCTCTCTCTCTTTCTCCTTCGTCTGCCAACTCTCCGCGCTCACCTCTCTTCATGATCCGACCTGGTGTGCGCCTTCGCGCGCTTGCTTCTCTCTCATCTTCTTGCCCGACCAGTCGACCGACCGCTTCTCTATCTCCCTCTTTCTTTCTCTCCATTTACTTGGTCTCCTCTCTTCTTTCGCACGAAAGCGTTGCCACACGCGCGAAACGCCTTCTTCGTTCCCCGCTGCTTCACTTCACGGCGTCGATACGATGTGATGCTCTTTTCCCGCTCGCACCCCATTCTGCCACCTCTTTCTCTCCTTCCTTCCTCTTCATCTCGCGAAGCGAAGAGGTCATGCCGCGGATTTGCTTCTTCATTCTTCTTCCTCGACCGATGCCGCCGTCTCGTTCCTTCTTCCCTTTTTTCTTCATATCTCATCGTAGTGATTCGTTCAGTGATCGAGCCGGCAATATTTACAAAAGGACACGTAACTAGTTATCCCGTATACGAACGACACCGGGCAGTCCCGCGGGTGAGAGAAGATGAACAGATATATACTATAAACGCCGGCTCCGAATGGAAGCCGCGATTCGTATCGCACACCTCGCGACACCAAGACGAATTTTTATATTCAGAATGGGCCTGGTCGGACACCTCAGTCAAGTTGAAAGGAAAAGTAGTTCTATGCAGAAGAAAGAGAAGGAGGGAGAGAGACAGGGAGAAAGAGCCGGAGGGAGCGACCGCGAGGGAAAGAGGAAGAGAGGAAAGGAAGTGAAAGTACCACGAGGCCTGGAGTTACCAGCGCATCCGAGATTTCGTGCTACCGTCTTTCTCGTCTCCTTGCCGCTCCTTCCTTTTTGCCTCCCTCCCAATCCCTCTTCGTCTGATCTAAGCAACGTCGTCCGGCGACGACGCTTCTCTTCCCCGTTTGCATTCACACCTACGGTTTACGAGGAGGGACTCTTTGCCGATAGTTTGTAGGTTCGCACGTAACCAGCACGCATCCGTATGGAACGGAAATAAATGCCTCTGTTATACTTGCGGAAGGAAAGTGGTTTTCCCAAGGGACTGCGCTTTTCTTCCCGAAACATAATTCAGATCGGATTTCAGAGATTACTAGCCGCGAAGCATGAGAACGTCTGAAGAAAATATCTAAAAAATCTGCACGAAACATTTGAATTACGAATACCATCAAATTTTTAATTAAATTTGTGTACTAGTTAATAAGTATTATCTAAATTTGAAAAACAGGCACAATCTTAATAAAAATTGTTAACAATGTTCAGTTTATATAACGCGTCATGTTTATACAAATGGATTCATTTATAACGCATGAAAGGCATGAAAGGTCTGCACGTTTACGTGGATTTTGTCGGAGAGATACCGCTTACATTATTAATTGCGATAGATAATACTACTGGCACATCGGTCGTCTTTTTGCCATCGATTAACCGTACCGATCGTGCTCGTCCATTGCGCGTCTCTCGTTCCTTTGGCCTGCTTCCTCGAATGAAAAAGGTAATCAACGACCACGCGCAACGCGGGTCCGTAAAGGAGGGCGCCCGTTAGAAGGAGGATGTCGAAAATCCGTTGGAGGAGAAGCCGGAGGATAAAGGACAAAAGCGACGAAACGAAAGGTGAGGCCCGGGTGAGATGTAGGTGAGAGGAAGAGGCCGAAAAAGGAAGAAAATGGGCCGTGGTCATTCGCGCCAAACTATTCTTGGGCAACGTCGTAACGGTACATCCAATGAGACCCAACTCACGAATATACTTTGGGCATGAGGCCCTTGTCCGGTTGTCTCTGGACAACTCCATCCAGCGATTCGCCGAGGTTCACCTCTCTGATATGGTGCGTTAGCTCATACTTCTGGTCTCTCTCTTTTTTTCTTCCTCTCTCTCTCTCACTTCCCCTTCGCAAAATCAACATATGGCGAATTGGGCTGCTTCTCAGGACAGTCACGAGACCCCGCAAACATTCCCGGGCCAAATGGAACGTGACGCGAATGGTACGCGTCTTCTGTCACGTATATGTACATTGCGTTCGCAGAAATTTGCTTGCTGATAATTGGACGTCGCTATAGAGGAGTATATGTAAGCCGATAACGAGGATCGAGACGGGCGCCATTGATCTTGCACGAGGCTTTGATCGAAGTCTCGAATGAGTTGCTGTGGTTATCGACGCGGAAATTTATCAATGTCTTTCAGTTTTTTTTTTTTTTTTTAATACAATCGTATGTATGTCTAACAAATATTTGACATCTATTGTTTCAACGATTATATTTTTTCGTTTCTTCGCTTGAATTAAAATCGGATTTTAAACGGATTCGATATATTTTATATAATATTTTGCAGAAATTCGCATATCCGGATACCATGAGCAATTTCTAAATGTTCCCTTCGTATAAAAATGCTGCGACAGAAAAATCTACAAAAATAATTGCTTAAATGACTTGTGTCTGATTTATTTAAAACTATGTGCTATTGACCTTTACACTTTAATGATTACAGAAATGAGGCATGAGGAATCGATTATAAAATAAATTATTGTAATCCGTGAAAGTGCAAACAGCGAAATTGTTTACACCCATTTGCATTATTTGCGCTATTAAACATCCAATTATGCTATATTTGCACGAGATTCGACAATAAATTATATATGTTAATATTACAGCAAGAGATGGAAAAGCTGCTCTGATAAATCATAAAGCTTCGTCAGTAAATACGAAATATTATTTTATCATGGTTTGATCGATGATTACAAATGCAAAAGATTTATACTAAATCATGCGTATACGTCACAGTTGCACGACACGGATTCAGCATATGGCAGAATCTTCGTATGTGCATCAACTGGAAATGCACAGCCGCGATATATCTTTCTCCGATCTATCGAGATAAAATCACGCTCATCTGAATATCGAAAGAGACCACATTATCCGTTATATTATGGCAATAAAATTTCGCAACGTACAATATATCGAATACGATGTAAATTACGCGGCGAATATATTCATGCAATGCAAGTATATTGAACTCAAGAATTTTATGCATCATGTCGAAAAGACGACTATTTTCTCGAATTGTAAAATGTCAGTATTAGATTTGTCGTCAACTCTTTTCCTCGTGCGTCTTTTCAACGCAAATGTAGATTTTTAGAAAAACTTTTGCCGCCGTTCACTTACGTTACGTCTGTCTT